TTGATGGTCCTAGGGTCCTCTGTTTCTGGACTATAAAATTAACTACTCCCCACTTTTTGTTACAAAACTTCTACCTTTAGAGTTGTGACAGTTGCAAGTTGTCATGATAACAATTACTTACTTTGAGTCATAAGAATCTTATCCCCATCTCTTTTCACCAGACCCATCTAGACAAGATGAGAACTATTTAGTGGGGACTCTATCTTCCTCTGCACACTCTTAAACTAAACTCCCTCTTGAAAATTTGTAAGCCAGTTACTTCGTGCCTTTATCACCCCATCATTTTAGGTAGCCAATATCTAAGGTGCCCATCCCTATCAACCCTGTATACAGAGGGGGTAGGATTGATACTTGGTGTGAAGACTCATTCCCTCTCAGTTGGTATTTTGAACATTGCTCTCCCTTTTATGTCAGCTAAGAAATAGATGAAAAGCAAGCAACACCTCTGGCATCACACAGTGAGTAAATGAAATTGCTCAAGTCAATCTGTCTCTGACACTTGAGCACTTCAGATTATAAACTTGTCAGATCTCATGCGCAATTGCTCAGGCCTCAACCACATTGCTCCAGGAGAAAAGTTGCTCTTTTGCTAGCACCAGTAGGCATGAAAACCTGTCAAGAAGTTTATACTTTTGTTGTTAAGTGCCATCAAGTTGGTTTCGCCTCATACCAATCCTGTATAGGGTTTCCAAGGGTTTGAACCAAAGACCTTGTGGCTAGCAGTCCAGTGCTGACCCTACAGCCTCACACCAGAACTCCAGGTTACCCTGGTTGGTTGGTTGTGTGCCGTGGCATTGGTTTCAACTCATAGCAACCCTGTATAGATTTTCTGAGGCTGTAAATCTTTATGGGAACAGAAAGCCTCATCTTTCTCCTGTGGAACAGCTGGTAATTTCGAACTGCTGACCTTGATGTTAGTAGCCTGACTCATAACCACGATGCTACCAGCGCTCCTGAAAGGTTATACTCCTAAAAATTTACACAGGGACCCAGAAAATTATCATCTGCTGCCTAGCAAATATTCACTTGATGACAATACTCCACACTTGTGCCTATCTGTCAGTTTGATGAACTGTGATTGTTTGTATGTTGCTGTGATGGTGGAAACTCTATACCACTGGCATTTCAAATGCCATCCGGGTCACCATGATTGACAGGTTTCAGTGCAGCTTTCAGACTAGATACACTAGCAAACAAGGCATGGTGATCTTCTTCTGAAAGTCAGTCCACACAAAAATTATGGAGCATACAAAGCATTGCCTGAGTCACTTGCTCCGGACATTCATCAGAAGGGATGATCACTAGACGAGGACATCGTGTTTGGTTACACAAGGGTCCTGGGGCCCCTCAATGTGATGGATTGACCAAATGAGGAACTGTGAGGAAGATGCAGGACCAGACATTGTTTCATTGTATTGCTTATAAGGTCACCTTGAGTCAGAGTCGACTCAGTGGTAACTAACAACACCTTGCAAGTCTTATTTGAGGGAAGAATGCTCATAAGCACAGAAAATAATTGATCTGAAAGTTCCAGAAAGATTCTTTTCTCAAAATCTTTCAGCAACAGAAAAAAAGGAAACTAGTAAAATATGGAAATGTGTATTTGAAACGACTGCATGAATGAGCAAATGCCCATGGTGAGTTATCTCTCAGTGATTACCCACACTTACCATCTTTGGTCCCAGTTGGAAGGAAGGCACTTCGATACCAAAGCACAATGTCAATCTTAAAAATGTTGTACATGCACATTATGGACACAGCCACACTTGTCAGAACGATGAAACCTCCTGTCAAGTAAGCTCGGAAATCTGGAGCTAAAACAACAGCAAAACATAAAAGAGCAAGAGAGAGAGTCCGTTATGTCATTTACAATTACAGAACATATTATAAATGCCAAGAGAAAATGTCAAAGTGCTAAGGTCATTGTGTCAATAGTCTCTGAGCTTAAATCCTAAATTATGGTTAAGTGCTGCTGAGTTGGTTTCAACTCATGGCCATCTTATATAGGGTTTCCCAGGCTTTAAATCTTTGTGGAAGCAGAAAGCCTCATCTTTCTCCCACTAAATCACAGGTAATGTTCTAGAACAATCCACTCTTGACAAAGAATTTGGGGAAACAACTTCTGAGCTCTTGGGCATCTGGGAAAGGAAAATTCTCAAGTCCCTGCAGCTGTGCTCACTGTCATGCTAGCACTGCTTTCAAAATACTGATGGCCAGACCTTCCAACACCATCACCAGCCTCTCAAAGTTGGGAACTAAGTGCGTTTCATTTGGAAAGTTCCTCCAGTGATTCTGCTGCATGCTCTTGATTAATAACCACTGTTGGAACAGCTCTCCTAGTGAGCTAAATTGAATATCAGCACTCCTGTTCGAAATAAGGAGTGATCCTTTGCCTACCCTTGGGGTTATCTCTGCTGGTTCCATAAATGGTCTGAGAGCCAGACTCCTAAGTAATTCTCTCGGAGCCAGGACAGTCCCTGTTTGGTGTCTACCAGAGAGACAAGCTCTTAGAAAGGCTGTTTACTTCCTACTCTAGTCCGTGAGCGCATTACAGAACAATTATGAGCAGAAGTGGTGGGGCAGGAAATGACCAAGGAGCAGAACCAGTTGCTCTGGAACTTGTTCCAGAAAACAAGTTCTGAAAACATGTTCCTACACATCAGAGAAGAGGAACAATCCAGCTGTCTGCCTTACCACAACCATAAACCTCCTGCCTCCCAGGAAATCAGAAAAAAAGGAAGAGAAAAGAATGAAAATCCTTCCCATTCTTCACAGCCCACTTCATAACCCACTTTTTCCGCCACTTCCCTGGTCCCAAATAGACAGTGAGGGAGAGTGAGCGAGGGTGTGGGGGATGGCTCTCTTTTCTCTAACCCTTCACAACACTTTGATTTATTTTAACAACCATTGCAAAGTTTATTCATCACTTCCCAAGGACGCACAATGCTGTGAACATAATGAAACCAGTTTCTTCATTTCACTGTTTTGTCCCATTAAATCCATGACACAATAAAGCACAATAACTAAAAACACATTTGGTGCTTAAAAAAATACTGCACTGAATAATTCCCAGCATAGTCACAAAACAGCTTCAGTGATTTGCACATTGTTACCCAACCCAATCCTGGGTACTTGTTAGAATCTGTAGCTTCTAAGCATTAGCCTGACTTGTCCGTCCTTCCCATCCTCTTTGCCATCTCTCTGCTTTCGTTATCATTAATTCTGGGAGTAACAAGGCCGCCTCTCTTTTTTAATGTAATCATGTCTAGAACCTTTAATGTATACTTTACATATCTCACTATTGTACACTGTCAGGAGGAAAATAACATACCTATAGGATTTGTGGGATTCAAAAAGCCCCTGGTAAGTAGACAGGTTTTGTTGTTAAGTGCCATTGAGTTCTCACTTATAGTGACCCTGTATGTATAGTGATCCTATTTCCGAGTAGTAGCTGGGTGGGTTTGAACTGCCAATTTTGCTATTCAAACTCACCTTTTGGTCCAGTGCATTATCCATTATCCTGCAGCACCACACCAGGAAGGGCTCCAAGTAAATAGAAGGGATCCCTTAAAATTTATGGGTTGATTGTTCATTGTATTCAGGAGAGCTGATCCACTCTGCTATGCAAATGAACTAAAGCTGGAAACAGAGTCTTAAGGACTCTTCTAAAGCACTTAACAACAACAACAATGGGTCTTAAGAAGTCCCTAGATAGTGAAATGATTACGTGTTCACTTGCTTATGGAAAGGTTGGTGCTTTGAGTTCATCAAGAAAATTCTCAGAAGAAACTTTTCTTCTGGAACTTGAGTCATCTGAAAACCCTATGGGGCACAGGTCTATTGCGATACTAATGACGTCACCATGATTGGGAGTCACCTCGACAGCAACTAGGCTGGATTGGAGACTTGGAAAGAGAAATAAAGGAGACCCTCCCTGATGGCCAGAGCAGATGCCCAGTTGAAGGTCCTATCAAAGGTGATATTTGCCATTTGAGGCCATATGCTACCGGGAGCCCATAAACAGAGATGCTAGTTGACAACAAGTGATTTGATAGTGTGAGGCAGCCTGAGTACAGCTATTTTGAGAGCAGCCGCCAAAACTGACTGAAATGTGTGTCTTCCTTAAGTTTCAATTTCTCATTTGTGCCAGTTGTTAAGTGCCATAGAGTCAATTCCAACCCATAGCGACCCTGTATAGGGTTTCCAAGGAGGAGCTGATAAGCTTGAACCATCCACCTTGCAGTTCAAACAACTTTGCAGTCTGACGCATTAGCCCACAGTGCCACACCAGAACTCTTTATGCCAGCTGTTGTTGTTAAGTACCGTAAAGTGGATTCTGACCCATAGTGACCCTGTATAGGGTTTCCACGGAGCTGGTGAGCTTGAACCACCGACCTTGCAGTTCAAAGGACTTTGCAGTCTGACGCATTAACCCACCACACCAGGACTCCTTGTGCCAGTTGTTGTTAAGTGCCATCAAGTCGGTTCCGACCCATAGCGACCCTGTATAGGGTTTCCAAGGAGCAGCTGGTGAGCTCGAACCGCCGACTTTGCAGTTCAACCCGTTTTGCAGTCTGGCTCATTAATCCACAGCGCCACACCAGGACGCCATCTAATTTCTACCCCACCCCCACCCCTGGGCAAGACCTCACAAAAGCCCATCTCCTTCACAGCTAGCCCATTCTAAGCTCCACCCCCTCCCAAGGCCCTCATAAAAACCCTCAGCCCGTGTGGGAGGAGGCCTCTGGCCCTGGTCAGCAAGCCCCTCCCAGGTCTGTCTTGAATTAACACGTCCTTGCGGTTGAGCTGTGCTCTCCATCTCTTTTCTCCATTGACTCTAACAGAGTGTACAGAAGGGTACACCAGTCCCAACAGCCAGTTAGTGACCCTGTTCAGACCAATGAAATACGAATCTAATCTGAAGATGTCTTCAACAAAAATAAGGAAGTCATGTGGAGAAGCTGTAACCTCAGCTCTGCCCCCATATAAACCAACAAGCAGCTTGTATCCAAGAGGCTCACATTCCTAAAAACTTAGGGCAAACAAAACATAGTAAGCAGGTATAAAAATAAATTTCATGTAGGACGTGAGATGACTGTTGGTAGTAAGGTCTCTTAAGGGGCCAAAAACAAAGGAGATTTGTGGCCCCTCCCTCTTCCAACATGATTGGCAGGTATTAATTGAAATGGATAATTAACATTTTTTGGCCCTGTGGGATAAAGCACAGGCCCACAAGGTCAGTTTGAAGCATAAGGTCAGTGCTTCAAAGCCACCAGCCACTCCTTGGAAACCCTATACAGGGTAGCTATGAATTGGAATTAACTCTATGGCATTTAACAACAGTTGATAGTAAAATTAGTTCCTTTGAGCCTGGAATTTGCCTCAGAATCTTTCTAGACACAGGTGTTTCCAAATAATTAATTGTTGTTGTTATGTGCTGTGGAGTTGGTTCCGATTCATAGTGACCCTACCCTGTACAGGGTTTCCAAGGCTGTAAATCCTCATCTTTCTCCCACGTAACATCTGGTAGTTTCGAACTGCTGACCTTGAGGTTTGCAGCCTGATTCGTAACCACTGTGCTACCAGAGCTCCTTTCCAAATAGTTAGTACTGATAAATTAGTACAGTCTCTGACTTACAACGTATTCTAGTTAAAAACCTCACTTACAACCATCCATAGTTTATTTTTTCCCTTTTTTTTTTCACATCTTAACATTGGTAGTATGTACACGATTCATGCAGCATTACAGCACATAATTTTATGCTGTTGTAATTCTCAGATGTTCACTTACAGATACACAATGTTATGATTCATTGTTCTGAACACTGTCCTCTAGCAAGGGAATGCCTGGTCTACAATGAAGTCGTCAGTGTTGGGAGTCGAAACGGACAGAAAGTTGGGCAATGCTCAATTCTAACAGCACAGGACAACTGAACTGCACACACACCCAACAGCTGTATGACAGCTGGTAGGACTGTGACATGGACTCCATTGTGTTGTGTTATTGTTGCCAAGTTCCATCGAGTCAGTGCCGACTCACAGTGACTCTGTATAGGGCTTCTGAGGAGCAGCTGGTGGGTTTGAACCACCAACCTTGCAGTTTAGCAGTCCAATGCTTATCCTACAGCGTTACACCAGGACTTCATTGTAGATCAGGCCTGTGGTATGATCTTATTCAGCGTTTTATACTATAGAAACAACAGTTAATGTGAAGCCAAGTTGTTCAAGTTTCTGTAACTGTCATATTTACATTGCTTATACGGAGTCCTGGTGTGGCACTGTGGGTTAATGCGCCAGACTGCAAAGCCATTTGAACTGCAAGGTCGGCAGTTCAAGCTCACCATTTGCTCCTCGTAAACCCTACACAGGGTCGCTATGGGTCAGAACCGACTCAATGGCACTTCACAACAACAACATATCCTTAACAAGGAGTTCTGGTAGCGTAGTTGTTATGAATCAGGCTGTGAATCGCAAGGTCAGCAGTTCGAAACTACCAGCTGATCCATTGAAAGAAAGACGAGGCTTTCTGCTCCCATAAAGATTTACAGCCTCGGAAACCCTGTTCAGGGTCGCTATGGGTCGAAACCTACTCGACAGCAGTTAACAACAACATACTCTTAAGGAAATGTCTAGCAAAAAATTCATGCCACTGGGAGCTCTAATTCAAAGAAGGTGAGGAGTGTTCTTGGCCTGGATAAATTAAAATGGAGTCTGTGAAATAGTGCATGAGGAAGGGCTGTCTCATTCGACAATCATTAGAGATAAGACTAGGATTTTAGAAGTAGTTCAAGGAGCAATTGGCATAAAATTGACA